GAACTGCTAGGTTGGCGAGGAGCTGGGACAAAGCAATGGGAGCTCACTCCATCATGTGGATTTGATCTTACGACTGCTGGCCTTCTGACCCTGCAGCACAGGCTTCTGTGGTTTAGCCCGCAGCGCCACCACTTAAAAGAAATATTACCGGAATATAGTCAGTATACCGGTTTAAAAATTAATTTCCAAAAATTTAAGTTATTATTTCTAAATATTCCTATTATAGAATAAAATGAAATTTTAAAACTATCTCATGCTATTCAAGTTTTAAATATTTAGGAATATGGGTAACAAAAAACCTTAATCAATTAATTTACAGAAACGATAGAAATCTATTTAAATTAGCAAAAGAAAAATGAGAAAGTGGGTCAATTTGAACCTATCAATGTTGGGGAGAATTGCTCTAATTAAATCTTATATATTACCAAAATTTCAATTTCTATTCCAAAATATTCCACTACAGCCAGGAACAAAAAAAAAGTAGAACTATGGCAAGGAAAGCTAGAAAAATTCATTGCAGGAAAGGAAAGAAGATAAGATTCATCAATAGTGTTAAATATAGACAGGGTCAAAAAGGGGGACTAGGAATATCACAGCTCCAAAAATATTATGAAGCTTTACAAATAAACCAAATTATTAAATATATATAAATCAATGAGACTTGCAAGAATCCCGATTGGGTGGAAATGGAAGGTGAAACGAAAATGGACATAGTAAATAAGTATATTTCTACCACTAAAATAATTAGAAAAGGAGAACAAATACAGAACCCATTGATTTCCAAAACATTAAGGATATGACGAAAACATAGTAAAACTTTGGCCCCGCCAATATCCTCTTTATGTCCCCTTTTGGATCACCCAGATTTTAAGTCTCAAGGGAAATATGCACAATTTAAGGAGTAGAGACAAATTGGAATATATAGAATTGCTGACTTATTCAATTCAGGGGAACCAATCACTATTATGGAAATAGAAGAAAAAACAAAGTAAATAAATACCAACTGGCTACAAATAAAACAAATAAGAAGTTTCGCTATTCAGTTACAACAAAAACCTGGCTCTCTAAGAACGTTAACTGAATGTGAACAATATTGTATCCAAAAAGATAAAAATAAAAAGAGAGGACTAACATCACTAATACAGTGGGGTCTTGACTTAAGAACTTAATCCGTATTGGAAGGCAGTTCTCAGGTCGAAAAGTTCTTAAGTCGAATCTGCATTTCCCATAGGAATGCATTGAAAACCATTTAATCCGTATCTGCTCTTTTCGTCCATAGAAACTAATGGGAAGCTGCTATTCCACCTTCTGCCACTAGAGGGGAATATTTTTTCTTTTTTCCTTTTAACCTAAGATGACTTAGCTTTAAAAAAAAGAAAAAAAAGAGTTCATAACTCGAATCTAAGTTTGTAAGTCGAGTCCATATATTCCTATGAGAGCGATTTGTAAGTCGAAACGTTCATATGTCGAGCCGTTCGTAAGTCGAGACCCCACTGTATATAAAGGTATTATTGAGAAAGAATATGGAAAAGGTGGAGGACCAAAAACAGTGTGGGAAACAATTTTAAATATTAATTTACCCGAGAAAATCTGGACAGGCATATGGAATAAATACCCATATAAATCTATATCAGCAAATGTGAAAGAAATAGTTCTGAAGGTAGTGCATTGGTGGCATTTATATTCTACTAAGTTACTCAGAATTAATAAAGATATATCAGATAAATGTTGGAGGAACTGTGGAGAAAAAGGAACTTTGGAACATATGTGGATTTCTTGCCCCAAAATAGAAACATTCTGGCATGAGGTAATTAGATGGATAGAGACGCTGACCAAACAAAAAATAGATATGAATGAAACATTATTGTTATTTTCATTATTTACACAGGGAGAAATGAGAAACTTGAAAATAAAGAATTAGTTGCAAATCTTATAGACACCGCAAGATCTGAGATCGCTAGAAATTGGAAAAACGCTCAGGATCTCTCATTACAAGTGTTTATGAATCAGATATGGCATTCAATGTTGATGGAAAAATGACTAATAAAGTTAGACTATATAGAGGAGAAATAAGGCACAGTCAATTCATTGAAAACTGGAAGCCTTTATTAAAATATGTCAATAAAATAAATCTTGAGACACGTGGTTTGGAAAACAATTTGGAGCATTTAGATTGTTGGTCGATATTTCTTTAAGATGAGATGGGGAATGGTGTAAATGTGATTTTTAGAATTGTGGGGAATAGCAATTTGTGAACAGTTAAATTATATAACAATGTAGGATGACAGCTTACTATGTTAAGCTTTGTATTTATTACTTGTAACATGATGGATTGTCTTTTCTTTAGAAATAAAATTATTTTTAAAAAATTAAATTAAATTTTAAAAAACACACGAAAAGACAGAGAGTGTACTGGTGGGCAATGCTCCCATATATTTATGGCCTGCTGGCAGTGAGAGTGTGTTTTAATATGAAAAATGCCACAAAATTACTTGTGGTATAAGAGCAATAATAATGATAACATGGCTGTGGAGTACTAAATAATAATGCAAATTCCTTTAAAAAAACATGCTATACAAAACTCTCAGATCTGTACATAAGTCTTCTGGCATTACACCTAGTTTTGCTCTCAGTGTGATTAAAAGAAAAGGAGGGGCTCATGAGAGGCTAAACAGCATGCACTGTTTTATCATCTATCTTTTAAGAGCTTTGAACAGGTAGTAAGGGTGAATTAGGAGCAGTAGCTTCACAAGTTGTTCCCAAAACATGGAAAATGCTTGAAGACTTTGAGGCCTGGAAGGTATGAAGGCTAATTTGTGTGCTGTTGCCCCTTTCCAGGAAAGCTGCTTCACTATCGATGGAGTCTTCAATCTGGACACTGGCCAGGTACCAAATACAGTATCCTGGATCTTTTCCTCTGCAGGCCTTTCTGCAATATATGAGGTGCTGCTCAAGGATTCCTACCCATTTGGGGCCAGTAGACCCCTGGAATTTTTGGAAGTGAGGGTTTTACAAAATGGCTGCTATGTTATGCATGGCCAGTCATAGGACATTCATTTCTAGAAGGCAAACTGTTAAGTCTAGATGTTAAAACAAATAGTTTAATAACTGGAATACAACGCAGAGGTATAATCTCAGCTCCCAAGTAGATGATCACTCTTTGGAACCCTCTGGTGTGGTTTGCTTTCGTTTTCTTGCTTCAGTGATGATTTCACAAAAGGAAAAACCTCTTTAAAGAAAACGCAGGAGGGGAATAGGGACCATAGAAGGTACCAAGAGATGTGTTTGTAGGCATAGTGATTCAGACCCAATGCAGATCAATCTAAACTAGCCTGATTCCATTGGGCAGTCGTCCAAATCATTTACAGAACCCTAATTTAAACAGCACATGTTGTTGCAGTGAATTCCAGAAATACATTATGCATCGTTTGGAAAAAATACTTCCTGTTGTGAAAGACAGAAGTGTCTGCATTTGCAGTATAATTTGCCATACATTGCAGTATTCCAATTACTCAAAAAATTAGTTCATAGAAAGATATTTTGCTCCAATTTCCAACATTTTAAATTCGTTGGAATAAAAACGTTGGTTCACACTGTAGATTGCAACACTGTAATTGTTTAATGGAGATGGGAGCCCAGAGACATTGGGGAGGAAAAAGACGATGATGGTAATGACAGATGTTGTAACTGGCATGCCCAATGCTTTTATAGTGCCAGATGTTTTTTGTGCCAGTATCAACCATAGTAGGTCCTTTTGGGTTTTCACTTCAGGACAAACTATTCCTGGAACATCTGCAACCTCTGCTGGTCATGGTTCCCCTTGGCTACAGTATATCCTTGCTGGTGTGTGAAGGCCACCACTGTGGACTCCAAGCAAAAACCAAAAGCTTTGTCCAGAGGGTAAGGAAGAAGTCAGGAAATTGTGGTCGCAACAGAATCCAAATGTTGGCAATTATCTTCCCATAGGATCTACCTTCTTTTGCTGGGCACCTTACACAGAGACCAGCCCCCTGTGCTTATGATATAACATTTTTTACAGATTTAGTCTCAAGTATATTAAGTAATTTTAATCTTGGGTTGGTGGATGAAGGTAAGGATGAATAAGAGAGGGAAGCCAATTCAGGCATCCTTCAACTACTCACATTTCCAGTCCTTCTTTCATTACACATATAGGGCTAGTGCTGCTGCTGCTGCTGAATACCAGATTGGTGTGGCCTATGATTTAAGTGCACCTAGCATGTATTGCCAAGGCTGAGGCTTGTGTGATAGGTGGTGGTGCTGTCTCCCAGCTGTCCCATGGGGAAGGTTGATTCAGCAGCAGCCTGTGATTACTTAGGCTCCACAGAGATGCACACAAATGCATTCTGGGCCAAGCAATGGTGACTATGACAGATCTGGAGGAAAAGTTTGGAAAGTTCACACATACCGTAATAGGTTTGTTGCTTCCACCAACCCTGGAGAAGAGTATTTTATGTAACCCATGCTTCTATTTTGGAGTTTGACATGGTGGAGACCAAGCACTAAGGGATAAAAAGGAACATGTTTTATTTTCCTTTTGTGTCGAGAGTCAGGCTAAAGAGCAGGGGGAGAGGAAGTGGCCTCAGGCAGGCACCACCAGTTTCATCATCCTAATTACACAATGTATACATCCTGCCAGGGGCATTGTGGTGCTTTGCTAGCCAATAAGAAGCTTCTCTTCCATTGCACCACGGATCAACTAAAGTGAGAAGACAGTTCAAAATACATTGCATTGACTAACAAATATGACTAGCTGCTATATTAGAAAAGAGTGATTGACTGAAAAGTAACCAGAGCAGAAGTGTTGTACATGAACCTGCAGATTCATGTATGAATGTTTAGTCAGCTGGTTTTTTGGGGGGGGGTTCCCTATCTTTTCTTAGGTAATAGAATCTGTTTTCCAAGAGACCAGCTCTCCTGAAAACACTGCCCAGTCTCGCCAAACCATCAGCTTTGTCCAGGTAAGCACATTCTATATAGGTTGACATGAGACCTCTTCAAGGCTCTGCTGTGAAAACATCCTAAGAGGAAATGTGTGTCCTCATTGCTGTGGCCCAAGGTGTCAACATCCCAGCCTCTGTGTTTTTATCCTTAGCTCACAGGATTATGCTCATCTTTATATCTGTGTTCTTCCACTGTCGTTCTCCAGCCATTCTCCCAATCACAGCTGCACTAATGTATTACTGATACCTAACCTGTTTCAGATCTACGCAGATGGCACAGCCCTAGACCTGCTCAGTCCCAGAAATGAAACCTTGCAGGTGATGGACATCCCCCCACTGGGGCTGTAAGCATCTAGTTCTAATGCTGTGAATGATGCTGGACTACTCTTTGGTGACAGGGGTATGAAATCGTACCACTGTAAAGGAAGGAGAATCTGGGATCTGACTTTTTAGTGTGATGGGATCAAGTACAGTCTGACCCAGCGCGTTGGGATAGATCTGAAGGGAGAGTCTGCTAATCTAACTTACTCAGACTAGCACAGAGGAGAGGTAAATATAACCTTGACATACTGAGTACTAAGAACTCAAAGAGTTTCAAGGTGCTTCAACGAACAGTTTGCTCCTTCCAAAATAAAAATATCAGAATCAATCTACTCACAAGATTTGTGATAGATTAGCTATCTGTGCAGTAAGACTGAAGCAACTTTATAGACCAGAAAAGTGAAATGCATTAGCAAAAAAAAAAGAGGTTAAAACAAGTAGGCATTAAAAAGACATAATTTACATGCTCGTCATTGCAGACTTAACTAACAAGGATGCCTGACACTGCCAACAACAGTCTCTTCTTCTTCTCTTTAGTGTTGTGGAGGAGGCAACGGAAATCATCGTAACTGATTCACAAGCTGCTACTCATTTCTATCTCCAGGGAGTGTCGGTGAACCGAAACTGTTTGCAGCAAACCTGCCAGAAGCAGCACAGAGCCATGTAAGGGCCACAGGAAGGCAAGGGCCATATTTAGGGGAGGCAGAAGGTAGCCCATGCAGCTAGCCCTTCGCTGGATTCCAAGACTGTCTGTCCATTCAACTTCTTCAAACACACTACAGATCCTTTTTTAGAAGCTGAATATTCTCATAGAATTATAGCATTGTAGAGCTGGAAGGGATGAGTGCAGCCCCTTGTCAAATCAGGCCTCCCACACCAAAAGCAACCCTGGCAAAAGGCCATCCAAGCTCTGTTTAAAAGGCCTCCAATGAAGGACAGTCCACCACTTCTGAGGCACCTTCAGTTCTGGGATTCTTCTTGCTACTCTTTACATCTCTTTGAAGGAAGCAGGAAGCCCCACTGCCTTGTAAAAAGCAAAGACACGGCTGTTTTTAAAAGCGTGGTTTCCCAACAGGCCTCATTTTGCAACTGAACACAACAGGCAGCAAGGGCGGGCAGGGCCAATTCAAGGCTCTGGTGGGCCCTGGGCAAAATAAATAAAAATAGTGGGGGGGCCATCTCTCCCTTCCTCCGTCCCCTCCCCTCCCACTTAAATAGATCATACAACATCAACAATGTAATATAACATAAATAAGACTGATTCACTAAGGTAATATTGGTAGCAGTAAATAAGAGAACAATGATAGGGAAGAAAACAAACATAACAAGGAAAAAAAGTCTTATGAGGGAAGGGCAAGGCAAGGGGAGCCTCAAGATGATATTCGAGGCCCTCTGCACATGCCCAAAGAGGAAAAGATATGCACATTGTGTGCAGAACACGCTGAAGCTGCAATCCAGAGCAGGCTCCATGCGAAAGGGAGGGAGGGAGGTAGGCTGCTGGTTGTGTCAGGTTGCAGGGTGCCAGGCTCAGGCACGGGAGGGGGAGGAGGGCCGCTGCCACCCAACTGAGAACGCTGGTGGGAAGAGCGCATCTGAGCCTAAGCAGGGTGCCCAGCTCATCCCAGTGAGCCTTACATACACACACCCCTTCTTCACCTGACCTCTGTTGAAAGAGGCAAGTCTTGCTGAGGTGCTTGAGCTCCAGGACGCCGTCCGGATGGCCAGGGGCGAAAACAGCCGTCTGCACCTTCAGTGCTGCAGTGCCCTCAGGGCCCTGGAAGACATCCTGGAGCAAGTCTACAAGGTGCCAGAGGCCGCCCTTCTCCTCATCGGGTGGCGGTGCCCAGCAGCACCTCCTGATCAACTGTCACAACAACGGTGCCCACGGCAGCCGCAGCCCAGCCTCTGGGGGAGCAGAGAGGAGGCAGAGGAGGGCAGTGTGCCCACTGGAGGGTCCCACAGCTCTTCCCCAGGTGCGATGGCAGGGGGGCCATGGCAGCCAAGAGCACCACCTGCATCTACTGCATCGCCATCCTGGGCCAGCCTTGCCCTTGCAGCCTCGACAGCTCCTGGCCAGCTGCTGCTCTGGTTGCTCCATCCCCCTCTTCATCTGGGCCCCTACGGACAGTGGGCCCCTGGGCAAATGCCCACTTTGCCCTCTGAATAAAGCAGCCCTGAGGGCAGGGAACAAGGTAACAGACAGAGCCTCCCCTTTAGCTTTATAGCCCCTTCTTCTGCTGCTGCTGCTGTTGCTGCTGCTTAAACTGAGCAACAGAGCTACTTAGATCATGGATCTGCAATTAGGAAAGAAAGGGACAGAAGGTATTGTCCTTTCGATGTCCACAGCTGTGATGCAGCCACCTGTAACTGCCAACAAGTCAGTTCTGGTGTATGGTGACCCTTTTCAGGGTTTCCCAGGTAGAGAATACTCAGAAGTAGTTTCCCATTCCCTTCTTATGGGGACATCCTGAGACTGTGCAGCTTGCCCAAGGCCACACAGGCTGGCTCTTCTGGGATGTGCAACGGAAAACTGAACTCCTAACCTTTGGCTCCACAGCCAGACACCTAACTCAAAGCCTATCCAGATCAGCCATTTTGCTATGAGCTGGATTGGAAAGGATCAGTTGAGGTTGGAGGGGGGGGAAGCAATGCACCATTTTGCACACTTCTCCCATCTGAGATTAATCTTTGGCTTGTTCCTCTGTCAGTTAAACACTTTCTCTGATAGTCTGGATTAGGAGAAGTGAAATTATTTTTTTACACCTCCAAATCATTGCTGATACGATGAATCACTTTGATTAAATTAAAAAATATTTTTCTCTGCCTGTCTGTGTACTACTGATGAGAATCTGTCTGCTGCAGAAGCTTTAATGGGCAATACATATACAAGCAAATAATTTAAAAAATTGAAGTGATTAATTGCATCAGTGACCATCCAGCAGACACAATAAAAAATCATTTCACTTTCACTGATGCTCCATAGAAAATCAGGGAAATGTTCAATTTCTGATATCCTGAAGTGGATTGTAAACCAAGTCAGTGTACTGGAGATTGACACTGGAAGTTGCTGCAAGGCTCTAGTTTAATCCATTCCAAGTGACCACACTTGGCACAGGTTAGCCCTTTAACCTGCACCAAAAGAGCAGAACCCCAGACAGGGTTTTAAAGAGGTGCGGGTGGGACACATTGGTCGGATCCAGTGATGCCCATGTGTGAATGCCGGAGAAAAGGGCATACCAAACAGCAGAACAAATGCCTGTGTGGACAGACTCTCACTGACCTATCTAGCCATAGGGTGCAAATATAAAGAGCAATACTAGTTCCTCCAATGTGTTGAAGTCCTTTTCAATTCTACTAGTAGCTTACAATGGAAACTTGATTTTGATCCATTGCGAGAGTTTCATCTGGAAGTACCCTAGATCTCCACTTTCCGTAATTTGAATTAAAAATACTTTCCTCTTGAACTAAGCAGCTGCTAAGTAAAGAGAACTTAGCAGATTACATTAGTATATTTGTCTTCTGCTATATTTCACTTTGAGGAAGGAAACTTGCCTAAATGTTGATTCAGCCCAAGGCCTGCCAGGAACTATTTTCACAACCATCCCTTCATATTGACATTTCACAGAAACCACTCAGCATTTTTAGCCTGTTAATTAAATGAAGTTGGCTGACAGAAACTTTATCTTTCCCTATACTGGGATACTGTTTTTAATAGACTATACTCATATAAATATAAACCACAACCCAACCCAACACCCCCAAAGATAAAAATTATTAAAAGGCATCCATTACAAAACAAGATATTTTAAGAGCCAGTGTGATATAGCATAGAGAATGTTGGACAGGTACTCAGAAGATCTGGATTCAAATCATCTCTCAACCATGGAAACTCAATGAGGATGCCAATGGTAGACAACTCCTTGAATACCTCATATACCCTAGCTATTCCTGGATACAGTAGGAAACCCTACTATGCTCACCATAAATCAGAAGTGATTTGAGAGTCCAAAACAAGAAACTTAATAATAAAAAAAGGAACAATGCAACTTAAAACGCCTACGCAAACAAGAACTGTTTCAAACAGCCCCACAAGTTAATACATTAAATCAAATGAATGTACTAGAATGTGCAATGATCATGCATTTTGGGATGGGAGCATTATAGCAGAGGCCTCAAGTTCCTGACCTATGCATGTTCATTGCAGAGTTTGTACGTGCGCACACAAATACATGTATAAATGTTTCTTACTTACATATTTGAGACCTTGAGTTTTTGCACATCAGACTTTAGAACACAAACATATATGATATGAAGAACTCTCACTTTTATAGTGAATGCATGCAAGTAGATAGCATACCTTCCGTCATCCTTGCTTGTCTCACTGTGATTTCATTTCATTTTGGGAACAGAGGTAAGGACTGCACTGGAAATTACAGTGGCACTCCAAGGCAGTGATACTGATCTGGAAGCATTAGAACATCTGATGTGCCTAACAGCAAACTACAGTGGTCTACCATTAGCAGGAGAATGTATATGCTATGATGGGGGGAGTGTCTTAGGGTGAGCATTCACCCATGGTATGTCATCAATATTTTGCCAGCTCTAAACTGTGCATGATCAGATTTCCCTATTCCAAGTTTGTTTGTTTGATTGTTTGTAATATTTTCCCCACCTTTCTCCATGAAAAGGATCCGAGGTGTCTTTCAACAACATTGTAATACAGTACTTAGAGTTGAAAACAAAAAGGTGCTTAACATAATTAAAAGACAATATTTAAGGCTAAGAACAATGAATATAAAGAGGTGTCTTACATTATTGAAACACAATATTAAAGCCAAGAACAGTAAGTATATAAATATTTTTTTAAAATGCTACTCTGAGAAATGGAAAACACAAAAATGGAAAACACAAGTAGTACTAAAAATCTAGTCAAAGCAGCAATGCATAACAATCCATCTAAAAACCACAGACAGGTAGCTAGTTACTGAGGGAAGGTTTACCTGAAGAGAAAGGTCTTTGCCTGCTTCCAAAAGGACAGCAAAGATGGGGCCCACCTGGCCTCCTGTGGGAGGGAGTTCCAAAGTCTGGGAGCATCAACAGAGGAGACCCTCTCCTGAGTTCCCATTAGACAAACCTGTGAAGGTTGCGTATACCCTCACAGCCTTTACTAATGCTTTTACCAAACCTTTCCAGTAATATAAAACAATAAAGGATCACTCTGAGGCCAGGTTGAATCCATTTCTAACATCAAATATCTTTGAATGTAAAGAATGAAACAAGTTTAAAAGGCAGAGACAAAAACCTAACATAGAAAAAAACAATTTCATGGAAGTTCAACCATCTCCACCTACCAGATCTGTGACACCAATCTCCTATAAAGCATCCATTAAACCTTTTTTTCATGAATTTTATGTACAGTAGTTTTCCCTGAGTGCATAAATGTACCTTAGATACAACTTAGTATCTGGTGCTCTTTATTAGGTGGCAATTCCAATAATCGTTCTATTAAGTTTCAAGTAACAGTGATATATGTCAATAATGTACATAAAGTCAAGCTCCTGTTTGAAATAAAAGTGGCAGAAGCACACTTCAAAGGATAGGGTTTTGGCAACCTCATGTGAGGACAGAACTTGGAAGGAGTCTGCCCTCTGGCTGACATCAAGTCTAGAGTTAAGTCTGCCTTGTAGGAACAGCCTTGTCTTTAGTTGCACAAGTACAAAGTTCAGGATCTCTTATAATGGGATTAGTATGTATTTTGTGGCTCTTATGTCAAGCATAAGAAATAAGAATCTCCTTATTTCTTATGCTTAGTTCAACCTTTGTTTGGGATTTAGTGCACACATAGTCCTATTATTTTTTGCAGCTGACTCTCCAACACAGAAAATACTGATTCTACACTTCAGGGCTTTGTTTTTCAAAGATGCTGAGTCTTTCACCACCTAACCCCCCCCCCTTTATTTTTTTACGTAAGTTTGACTTCTTATTCGTAAATCAGTAAAACATAAATTTTACTTTTCTTATGAAAAACCTGATGAACGTAAGGCAAACATTTCCTTCTTTTCAACTAAAAATAGGAAATATCTGTGACAATACAGCAATCAACTAAACTCTCTTTATCTTTTGCTCAAGATGTGGCCTTCTCTTTACCATCATCACAGAGGTGAAAGTGACAGGAGGCCATGGATTTCATCGTGCCACTGTCAGGATCCTTGAGTTCTCTGGAGGAGATGAACAGTGCTACACTGACCCGTGAGTGTGTTTCTGTGTCTCTCTCTGTGTGTGTGTGTGAACAGCAGTCAGCCAAATTCAGAGAAAGTGCAAAGGAAGTCTCTCTCTCTCTCTGTGTGTGTGTGAACAGCAGTCAGGCAAATTCAAAGAAAGTGCAAAGGAAACACTGTACCTCTATTTAGGCAGGCGTAACTCTCTTTCTTTGACCAAGGCACTTCCTTTGCTCAGAGTCTCAGGGTAAGTCATTGTGCATCCATTGTGCCTACATGTTCCCTTCATGTTGTGATGATAGTCTTAGAACTGCAGAGTTGGAAGGGGCCCTATGGATTATCAAGTTCTGTCTGTCTGGCTCCACAGACATTGAGCTATCGAGTAGTGGTGATTTGTTCCTTTTTTCCTCCTAAACAGGTTTTTTACTCTTTCCCGGGCTTCATCTGCGGTGGGTCTTCCTGCTGAAGCAGGGTGCTTCTCCTGGATCCTGAAGCACCTACTGGAAGGCAATGCTCTCACATTCTTGCTCTTGTGCTTGACCCTGCCAGGTACTTGCCTGAATGGCCTATCTGATCCTCTGGCAGGAGGACATCTGTTTCCTAGGGTTCTTCCTCCAGCTGTGGCGGTCTGGAACAGGGATGAGAAAATCTTTCAGTTATGCTTTCTTCCACATTTGAATTATTTCAACTTCAAGGTCTTTTCATCTGGAATATGAAGAGATTTGTGAATTTAAGCCAATTGTTCAAAAATAAAGTGCAGTGAAATTCCCAGTCACTTGCACTGGCCAAATTCAATAGATGTAGACATTCCTACTAGAAAGAAGACCAGCTTGTGTCTGCCTCCTATATATACCAAGTGTTGAAGATGAGCATTTTAGAACAGTGGCCCTAACTATGCAACAGCCTGGTTGAATACACAGAAGGCTTCATCAGAATTACTGTGGAGAGTGACTCTCACAGCCTTTCACCTGGGTCAGACCATTGCTCCATTCATTCCAGCATTGTCAGCTCTGACTGGCAGCAGCTCTGCAGGGCTTCAGGCAAAATTCTCTCCTGGCTCTATCTGGAAATGCTGGGGATTTTAAGCAGCATTGGTTTTAGGTGCCTGAAAACTGGCGCTATCTGCCTAGAGTGGTCTTAATTGACTAGATAGGCGGGATATAAAAATAATAAATAATAAAATAATAATAATACAGAGCATGGGCTCTCCCACACAGCTATGGTCCAGTCTTTCACAGTCTGCACCAGAGGTGTCCAAATTACTACACTACTGTGATAAGCATTCAACCTCCTGCACCACCCATGCGAGAGGGAGATTTAGGGAGGCTTCGTCTGTACAGTCTTCTGAGATTTCCTCATACCAACCTGGGCATATCTGGTTTTGTCTAACTGTGGCAGCCAAGTAGGGCATTGCATAACTAGGGGATGCCCGGCACTACCCAAACTTTCTATAGTGTCTGCCCTGCTTGATGCATGAGCTGCCCCAGGAGCTGATCCTGGTTTTCATTTGGATGAGAGACCCTCACAAAATGTCATATACTGTATATCCAGGAAGGGATAGAAAAAAACTGCCTGAAATCCTGCAAAGTCATATTCAATCATGGTGAACAATATGGAGGACCAATGGCTTGACATGGCATATAGCAGTGGTCCCCAGCCTTGGGCCTCCAGATGTTCTTGGGCTACAACTCCCAGGAGCCTTCACCATCACCTCTGCTGGCCAGGATTTCTGGGAGTTGAAGTCCAAGAACATCTGGAGGCCCAAGGTTGGAGACCACTGGCATATAGCACCTTCCCACATTCCTATTCGAGTTTGGCCAATTGCACTTTTTCTGGGTACTGCCATGATTTAAACTGAAGTAACAGTGAACTGCACCAATAACAGTGCTTCCAATAGCAACTCCTTATATGAGAAACATCTTCCAGAAATCTACCAATCAACTGATTGTTCAAGGTAATTAGTAAGGACACAGGGCTTTAGGCTGCTATTTTTAAATGTTAACTAATTATATAAATTTAATTACATTGTTTATCTTCATTCCTATCATATTTGTAAGGTTTTGGCTGAAATCCTGTTGTGCAGCTCTGTGTGCCAAAAAACAATGACATCAGCCACCACCACCACCACTGCAGATTGATGCTGATTAGTCTTCTTTTGGCAATGGCTTCATGGTATTTTGTATGATGCATGGGCACCTGAAGATTGCCTTTACTCCATAGTGATCTACCCTTAATCAACAGCAATTTGCTGCTGCTCTTATCATCTCCCATTGCACATAAAGAGTTGTGTAACAGAATTTCAGCTATTGTTAGATGCAATGTGCAGATGAAGGGGAAACAGAGTATCACAAAATGTATAACAACAATGTTGACAATGATGATGATTATAATGCAGATGACCAAGGTGAAAGCATCATCTATGGTGGTCCTGTACTTGGTTTAAAAAAACAACAACACTGACTAGATATGTAAATGAATGCAAGAGTCCCACATCTGTCAAGATTGCTAGACCTGTATCATGCATCACAGGCCCAAAAATGAGTAATAGTAGCAATAGTACTTGTTGTTTGATTTACATACTGCCCCATAGTGCTAGATCACTCTCTGGGCAGTTTACAACATAATTATGCATATACCATTGTGACGTTTACCCCTTTTGTGGCCCCTGTTTGTTCTCCCCAAAACAGAGAGCTCACAAAGGCAAAAAACAAAACAAAAAACCCTTTTCACACACTGCCACCAGTTGATTTCTTTATCAGCGTCCTTTACTTAGGAAAGACAAAGGTCCATTCATCATTGTCTTTTGAATAAAACAGGTTTATTGATTACAGTATCTTCCTCAGGTTTATCAAGCATCAATAACAATCTTCTGTATTATCTTACAGGTTACTATTCACTCCTCAGACTAATCACACCTCAGATCTCCCAACTCCCTCTCTCTCTCTAGCTCTGACTCCACTCTACTCTTGACTGACACTTGAATCTCAGGCTCCGCCTTTTAACATCTCTGGTGGCCCCACCTCTCAACCACATCAGCATAGAACATGAATAATGCATAACATATTCAGCATAATAAGAGTGAACGCCACAACCAGGATTATAGTTGGCTGGACTAAATGACTTCCAAGCCCCCTTGATAGGGAAAATTGAGTCATTCATTGGGTTAATGGCACAATGTCAATCAAAACATAAGAAGTTCCACCACAGCTGCATGTGAGCAACAATGATGAACACACACACAGATGCTTTATTATACTGTTTTTTAATGCCCACATCCTTGAAAGCAGAACTATCCACATGTATCATGGGGTTGTCTAGACTCAGTTCATGCCATAGAAAACAGCGAGCAACATAAATCCTTGTCCACACTATATCTGTCCAGTCATGCAATTTCACTGTTGCAGAGTTGGAGAAGTGCGTGCTTAAAGTGTATCAGACCTGCTGCCATGTATGACCATATTCTTTCATTAGAAGAAATACAGACAATGCATTCCCATAGAAACAAAACGGTTAGACAGTTGATTTTATACTTCTCTATGGGATAGGAAACCCAGACCATTAGAGAAACCTTCTAGAAGCCTAACTGAAGTATTGTATGGCTCTTTTTAGATGCCTCTGGAGAAGAAATATTGTCTGCCCTCTCCCTGACTGAACAAGTAAGGGCTATAATCAAGACAGTTACGCCAGTCCACTGGGACCCCACTCTAGAAGCTCGGAAACGAAGAGCAGTGATAAGGGAGCTGAGAGTGAAGTCCTTCCTCAACAGTCAGATGGAACAGGACAGCGTGCTCATTCAGCTGGGGAAAGTGATAAAGGAATTGCAGGTAATATGACCAATCACACAGAATAGTCAGATCTAACACAGATCCTGCACAATGATGTCCACGTTCAGTGGTGTTCAGTGACATATTGCCTCTGAACATGGAGGTTGCACAATGTTATGCAGCCATCACAGGATTGACCCACCATGAGTGTGTCCTGTAACTACTTACTGCCACACAATGTTTTATCTATTATGTGCTACATGAAGAAGTACTTCCTTCCGTCTCTCTTGAACTTCCTGTCCAACAACTGCTATGGAGAATCCACAATCCTAGTATTAAGACATTATGAGTTTTGTAAAGCTTTATCCTATCCCTTTAGTCACACTAAAATCACATTAGCTTTTCCTCACATAGCCGGACCAGTGGCCTGTTCATTTAACTTTCTGCATAGCTGCAAATGTGGAAACCATTGTAGCAATGTAGATGGGGCTACCGTATTTTGCTTGCCTGTTAGTATGATCGGTCATGCCATCAAGCACACGTGGGACTGGACCTCTGACGTTGCTGCAGCCACTTCCACCTTTGAACCCCTGGTCAAGGGGTTCTGGCGTTGTTGCTCTTTTCTGCAAGATTCCAACCTTGAGGGGAAAAAAAACCAAGACTACTAGATTGTACACCATATTCCAAATAGGTACATCATAACTGTGTATAACATGATTATGAATCTGACGGTTTTATTCTTAGTTCCTTTCCTAGTAATCCCAGTTCCTAGCATTGAATTTATCTTTTCAAGGTAAAGTAAAATGAAATTGTAATAATATTGTTTTTATAAATAAAAATTTAAGATTAAGATGTTTTACTTTTGTAAATAGTAGTTATTGGTGATTCATATACATTGTATTTATGTGACATGAACAAGAGGCTCATGACTGGAGCAGGAGTGGGAGTGTCAAAATAATTAGGTGAGGTACCTGCCCCCCCCATACTTTGGACCACAAGCCATTACTGATAATGTATGTATCATTGCCAGACAATGAAAATATATCTATCTGCACAGTTCTTTGGTGTGAAGAGCTAGACAAAATGAACTAAATGTCCATTGCAATACCTTTGGAATGCCCAAGACTGCAGTGGGACACAGGAGGTATGCAAACAGTAACCCCTAGAATGGGCTGGCTTGATAGAAGTACTAATACTTCTAGGCAGGGGAAGGGGCTACTCAAATGTAAACGATCTTGAGATTAAGGGATTGTGATGGGCTATTTTAAAGGTGCTGAAGGGCCAGAATTGGGAGAAAAAGGAAGAGAGATCAGCATATGAACTAAAGGAGGACACTTCTGTTGAATTCAAAGTAAGTACCAGATCTTAGCAACACAGCACAGTCTTCCAAAGCAAATGAGGCATATAGATAATTATATTGCCCATAGGAAACTAGAAACCAAAGGAAGTGGGGGCTTCTTGGAATACTTTTACAGTGGTGCCTCACAAGACAAATGCCTCACAGGATAAAAAACTCGCAAGACAAATGGTTTTGGCAGTGGGGGGGAGTTTGATGACTTGCAAGATGAATGTTCCTATGGCCATGCTTTGCAAGACAAATGTTTTCCGTTTTTTGTTCCTGCCTCATGTTTGCTGATTTTAAAATTTTTTCTATGATGTTTAAAAAGTTAAATTGTTTTGATTGCAACTTTTGAAATAATCTGCACAATATGTATGGTTTTAAAGAGCACTTAATCAACCTTTTGTAAACTAAATTTGACTTTGTTCTGCCTTTTTTTGCCCATAGGAATGCATTAATTAGATTTCAATTTATTCCTATGGGGAAACGCATTATGCAAGACAAATTTTTCGCAAGACAACATTAACTGCGGAACAAATTAAATTCATCTTGCAAGGCACCACTGTATTTTATTTTATTTTGTTGGCAATATGGTATATCCCATGTGAAGGTACTCCTGTGCTGCTCTCTTCTAAATGCAGGCTGGTAAGCAACACCAAGGTTCAAAGCTGAAGTTCTCCCTACTCAAAACTCGGAGGCAGCATCTCCAAGAACAGCACCGGCTCCTGATCCAGCAGGAACGTCAGAAGATAGAAAAAGAGCTTGCATGCCAAAACAAGGTGACAGGTTGTAAGGGTCAGTGGGGGCTGGGCTTTACTGTTTGCTAGGTTGTAAACCACCCAGAGAGTGGTTTAAGTTCTATGGGCAGTATATAAGCAGCCACTTTGATTTTTTTTCGTATCATCTGCTCATTTAGAAAGGGAAATACTGTAATCTCTGTGACTGAGTCGGAAACCCTGAAAAGAAAAAAATAAACAGTAGCACACTAGGAAAAAAACACTTCCTAACAATCATGAGTCTCACAATGTGATTAGGTTCTTCTGAAATTGGTGATGTTTCCTTCATTTTGGCAGGAATGAGAGACGGAGACAGTTTGAAATGTCCAACAGCTTCAACTTTATTTTCATAAACTTCTGGATTAACAAGGTTAAATGGATCGAAACAGCTTAACTCAGGGATTGTTCTATAAGTCAAAATCTTCACTTCTGGTGTAAATATTTCACTTCTCACATTGGGGCTGGACCAAAGCGCTCGCGGTCGGTCATCATTCTCATGGGGGCGCTCCTCACCGCACACACCGTCGCACAACAGGGGTGTCTCGCTCAATCTCCCTCTGGAGGTGGGTTGTTGGAGGAGGGACTGGGACGAATCACTTTCCTCCCTCCACCTTGATTGTGGGGGGTAAACCACGGCTGTCCATTCTAGAGGTTTCACCACCTTCCCCTCACCACTGGGAGAGGCAGGATCGGGGAGCAATCCACCTCCTGTTTTAAGATTCGGGAATTCTCTTAACAAATCACAGACCTTACTCGCCGCTTCCTGACCCCCATCTGTCTACACCACAGCTGTCTTTTGTGTTTTACTCCTTCTTGTCAGTTTCCACCCTAAATTCCCACGCTTTGCTTCACTCTTTTATAGCCTCCTTCCACACTATCAGATCTTGCTCCTCCCCTTTTTCTCCTTCCTTGTCTTCTGCTAAGCACACCTCTATCGCCTTTTCATCCTTCATCTCCTCCTCCTCTATTTTTATGAGTTCCTCCTCTACATATCCGAACATCTCTTCTTGTCTATCCTTTGCTGAGGACGGCACACTAGCCTCCTGTCCTTCACACACAAATAGAACTAAGAAATAAAACTAAAACCACCACTCTTTTGGCCTGACCTATCACACAGCGTTGTTGAAAAGACAGCATGAGGAAGATAGGAGCTATGTATGTTACCTTGAGCATATTGGAAGAAAACTGAAATCTAAATGTAATTAATGAATAACAATCAGTAGATATTGAAACAGATTTCAGTGTTCCCTTTTATGCATTCCATAGTGTACTGCCAATGCTGGCTAGGGGATTCTGGTGGTTGTAGTCAACTTTTAGCTGCTGGCTGGAGAATTCTAGGAACTTGAGTCCAAAAAGGTAACTATTACATTACATCTCACAATGGCCTGTTCCTTCTTTTCCTAAATTCCCAGATTTCTCCAGACCAGAAAGAAGCTCTACTCTGGCAGAAAGAAAAATCCTTGTTAGTTCTGCATGTGGAGATGCTGCAGAAAGAACAGGCAGAAGCTGAGAGGGATCTGGAAGAGCTTTACCAGGACTACCAACATGAGACAGAAGTGCAAAAAGATCACATCCTACAGGTCATCAGAGCTGTCATCCCCTTTTCCAAACTGGTCCTGGGCAGTCATGTTTCTATGCTTCAACCCAGTACATGTCTGGTAGCCTCTCTGATATAAATGTGTTCATCTTAGATTTCACTGAGAATCAGTGGAGGGGCAGCTACAGTCCTAGATGGGAAAATTACTTTTGAAAACAATTAATTACTATTATTGCTCCAAGTCTGCTTTTTCTTTACTCACTCCCATAATAATTTGTGTTTTCTGAGTAAATCACTATTCTCAATCTCAAAAATAACTAAAATAGTTACTTCTAGAGATGGGGGTATTCATATTCGTATATGAATACGAACACCCACACACAGGTGGACATAACGAGGGTCCAGCCCCCTGTGGCCAGACTATCCACCGCTACAGCCAGCTCCACGCTCCCTTCCAATTGCTCCGAAGCTCACAGTCAATTAGCAACTCATCAGCCTGGCAAGGAGGCTTGTCTTCTCTCCTTCTGCCAGGAGTGGATAGTTGACCGTGAGCTCCAAATATGAATGCTCTCATCTCTAGTTACTTCTTAAAATATTGAATGTTATAAGCCAGTGGCCTATCATCCAGAAAATCTGTCTTCCTCAACACTCATGACAGAACATGAGACATAATGCAAGACAATATATAATATATAATATGTCTCCTCTACCATTTAGTGTGGTCATACCCCACAAGAAAAGTTATTTGTGATTAGTTACTACTGAGCTCTTAGAGTAATCTTAAGGAAATCTTCAGTGGTTAAATGTTAGCATATATGGAAGGTGATGCTTGGAATAATTAACTAAATATTATCTTCAGTGTGTACAGATTTTTTTAAAAAGCGAACCATACATGAAAGGAAGACAGGGGAAAAAAAGGGGGGGGTCCTGCTGCCTCTGGCTCCATGACAAAAACAACAACAGCAGTGAACTGGGACATAATAACATCAGGCTCAAGAATCTCAGTGTATGGATAATGTACAAAGCAGCATGTAGCCTATGGATAAGGAAAGAGAGAATATAATACAAAAAGGGAACAAGGGATGCTAACTAGCTGTCACTGCCACTACAGTGGTGCCCCGCAAGACGATGTTAATTCATTCCATTGAAATCGCTGTCTAGTGAAAACATCATCTTGCAAAAACTGTTTCCCCATTGGATGCATTGAAGGGAAAAATATGCATTGAAATCTGTTTAATGCGTTCCAGAGGGGAAAAATCATCATTGTTTTGTAAAGATCGCCCATAGGGAAGCCATTTTGCGAAGTGCCGATCAGCTGTTAAAATGGCTGTCTTGCGAAGCATCATTCCCGAAAACACCTGTTTTGCAATGCGTCAAAATAGTCATCTAGCGAAAAACGGTTTGTGAAGCAAGCATCATTCCCGAAAACACCTGTTTTGCGAAGCATCAAAATCGTCATCTAGTGAAAAACGGTTTGCAAAGCACTGACCCAAACATCATCCAGCGAAAATCGCCCATTGGAAACACTGTTTTGCAAAGCGCTACAGCGATTGCAAAACCTCATCGTCATGCGGATTCGTCATTTTGCGAGGTCATCGTCTATGGGGCACCACTGTATTGCCCTCTGGTGGCACACAATCATTTGTTGAAGCCTACTTTCTTCTCCTTCCAACATGAAGAACCTCTAGAAATCATTTTATTATTAGAATTCAGGGCATCAAGAGACTCTACTAAAAAGCTCTGGCTGAAATCCAGTAACAAAGTTATGCTGCATAGGCTTAATGTCTCAGCCACAGCTGTATTTTGGTATTTAAACTCCTCCCCTCCCACAAAGATTCCTCTTTGATCTTAAGATCTGAAAATAGCAATCACAGGTCCTGCCAGGACAAGTGATGGTGATTTCCAGACATTTAAGACTTCCTGCTCCCATCCTGGTATCCCCAAAGTTTTCCACAGGATTCTGGTGTGGGGTGAAGAGGAAATATTTAATTACCAGAATATGGCCACAGATGACACCATCAGGCATACATGGCATAACTTTATATTGCTGGATTTCAACCATTTAGTTATGAAAATTATGTTTTATCTGACTGCTCAGTCAACACATGCAATAGCAACAGTTGGTGCTGCAGACATCAAGTAAAGAACCTGCAGAGTCCTAGAATTAAGGTCTACCTTTCACCCACATTTAAACCACTATTTTGTTATAATGAGGGAAACAGTAGCTGCTTCTAGGTATGCCGCTTCGGCAGTTCTGTGATCCAAGGTTTCCCACTTGGTCTATGTGTTCTGTGCCATCAAGTTGGAAACCAACTTATGGTGACCCTAATAGGGATTTCAAGGTAAGTTAGGTATTTAAGGAGCAGTTTTATCAATTCCATCTTCTAGTGTATTTCCATGGCTGAGCTGAAAATCGAACTCTGTCCTAGTCCATAGTTCTATCTACTGCACCAATTTAAGGAGCAGTTTTATCAATTCCACTCTCCTAGTGAATTTCCATGGCTGATCTGAAATTCGAACTCTGTTCTCCAAAGTCCTAGTCCATAGTTCACTGGGAACCCCTCCACTTAGCCTATGATGGCAAAATGTAGAGGAGAAAGGCTGAGGGTTTGCCAGTGCTTCCTCTTCAAGGAGCATTTATACCTGCTCAACTGGGAAATGCCATTTGGATGCTTTTGATGGGTGAATCCCATAATTGCCATGCTAATGCGTTCACCAATTTAAAGAGCTTAGTCTTATAAAGATAAGAGCTGCAGTCTTTTTCTCCTTATGATACTACAGATCCCAGTATCAATGCATAACCAGACTGGCTAGAGGCTTTCCATTTATTCTTTGGAAAGTACCAATACTCAAAAATATTAAACATCCCACACAGTGGAAAGTCTCCCTATAATTAAGGAGGCATATGCTATACATTTTCTACATAAATAAAGACCCTCAAGAGGTAGCAAGCAATCAACATCATATTCACCTAGCAGTGTACACAATAGACTGAAATGGACAATTCCAGTGCTTTAGCCCCCAAAGGACCTTGGCAGATGCTGCCCCACCACCACCCCCCAAGGAGAGAGAAGCTATCACCACAAATATATTTAAAATACTTAATTGACTGGACAGCTCTCTATATCAGGGGTCTCCAACCCCCAGTCTGCAGCCCGGTTCCGGGCTGTTGCTTTGGCAGGACCGGGCCATGGAGACATATCTCTCCATCCCATGCACTCTCCCCCACGCCCACCTGCACGCACAGCCCACCCACCTGGGTGCTCTACCCACCCACGTATGCATGTACGTGCCCCGCCCATCCATGCATGAGTGTGCCCAACCCACCCATGAGCTCACCCTGCCCACCCATGCACACACAAGCATACACCCCACCCACCGACGAGGGGTGCCCTGCCCCTCCACACACGGACCCCCACCCCTCCAGCCAGTTTACGTGTGCCCCGCCCATCCACGCATGAGTGTGCCCAACCCACCCATGAGCACACCCTGCCCGCCCGTGCACACACAAGCATACGCCCCACCCACTGACGAGGAGTGCCCTGCCCCCCCGCACACGGACCCCCACCCCTCCAACCAGTCCGCAGTTTGAAAAAGGTTGGGGACCACTGCTCTATATTTTTATTCTCAATTTCTGCAGGCAACTCCTCTGACATTGGTGCATGCAGGGTTGGGGAGTGGATAAGAGCATTTGTATGCATACATTTAAATGGAGGATAATACATACATAAAGATGTTCATATCTGCATGTCAAGTTCTCCAGCACAATCCCAGGGGCAGCCTTCAGGGCCAGAAAGGTTGCACACCCCTGCAACAAAGGAGAAGAATGGGCCCTGCAAAATCACCAGGGTAGAGAACTTCTCATTGAACACGTAACATGAAGACAGGTAGTTTCCCTCAGGTTGAGACTGTAGGTGTACAATGGGGAGTCCCACATAGGTGGCTGCACCAACTACAGTTCTTAAAGATGAAGCATTTTCTATGCCCCCTTTCAAGTGATACTGAACTGTATCCCTGGAATAGCAGTGAGTTAAAGCTTTCCTCCAGCATCACAGCAATGCTGTGGAAGATTTTTATGGTAAAGAAAACGCTTTAATCTCACCACTTACCATATTGGGCTGAATATAGGCCTCTCTATGGTGCAGGAGGGATGGCAGGGCATCCTCTGGCACCTCTGAATCCTGTGGTACAATCAGCCAAATTTCCAGTGAGGAAAAGATCACCACCAGCTGCTTTCTTTTTTGTGGTAAAGTACAGATGATTCTGTAAGGGAGAGATGAGTTGGGTGTGACACTCCAGTGGGGATGAGGAATATGTAAAAGTATGTAAAAATATAAGGGGAAAGACATTTTACATGGGTAGGGGCACAGGAAATGCCATGTATTGCCTTCTCCTGTTTTAGAGGCAATATAGTAATAGATTCTGTACATTTCTTCTGTAGGTTTTCCAGGCATACAGAAGGCATGCTGAAGAGCAGACGGAAGCCCTTGAGCAAAGATATCGAAAGCTGCTACGGGAGTCCCTTCAGGATGCCATTATCCTCTCCGCTCAGAACCAGCAACTCAGAGTTCAAAAGGAACTGAGATACACAGAAAGAGCAATCCAGACAGACCCCTGCCCTTAACACACAGCCATGAGAGCCACTGCTCACCCTAAGAGCTTATATTTCTTCTGAAAGAGAGGCCTAAAAATCAAAGTATTGCGCAGGCAGAGACTAGCCTCAGCTTTCCCTCTAGGATGAAAGCAATTACTCCAATCTACATGAATGGTTGGACTAGGTTTGTCTCGTTTCCTTTACCTCTGCCCTCTCTTTGATTACTCACAAGTCCCTGTATGACAATGTAAACAAAGTTAACGAAGCTCATCATTCATCTGAGGTAGAACATTAAAAAAAAGAGCTTTGTGCAGAATCCCAAGACAAGAATGGGTGGTCTTATATTAAACCATGAAAATCCTACAAACAACCCAGTCTTGAGTTTTGCACAGGTCCTCATCAGACTGTGTGTTACAGAGGTGGGTGGGTGGGACAGAAATCTTAGCCTAATGTTGAAGTGAGGTTGTCTTGTTTGAGGAACCTTTGAGGATGCAAGTGTAGCACTAGCTCATCATCTGAAGGGCTGAGCCCATACTATAACATCTAGATTTCATAGAATCACAGAATAGTGAAGTTGGAAGCATCATGTCCAAGCCCCTGCTTGATATAGGAATACTGTATACAGTAAATCAAAGGATATCTTGCCAAGTGGTTGTCTAAGTTTCTCTTGAATTCCTCCAGTGTTGAAGCACTCACCATCTCTTGAGATAATTGGTTCCACTGTCTTACTGCTTTAATAGTTAGGAAATTGTTCCTGATATTCAATCGAATTCTGGCTTTCTGTAACTTGAGCCTATTGTTGTGTGTCCTGCACTCTGGGATGATCAAGAACAGATCCTGCCCCTCCTCTGTATGACAGCCTTTCAAGTACAGTATTTGAAAAGTGTTATCACATCACCCTTCTATCTTTTCTCAAGGCTAAACATGCCCAGTTCTTTCAGTCTTTCCATGTAGGGCTTGATTTCTAGCCCACTGATCACCCTTGTTGCCCTCCTCTGAACTTGTTCCGATTTTTTGGCATCCTTCTTGGAAGTGGGGTGTCCAGAACTGGGCACAATACTCAAGATGAGGCCTAACCAGTGATGAATAGAGGGGAACTAGTATCTTGTGGGATTTGGATACTATACTCCTGTTAATACAGCCCTTGGAGACTATACTTCTGTTAATACAGCCCGAAATACCTTTTGCCTTTTTTTTTGTAGCCACATCAAACTGTTGCCTCATATTCAGCTTGTGATCTACAATTCCAAGGTCCTCAATTGTAGTATTGCTGAACCGGGTACTGTATCTTCATCTTGTAACTCTGCATTTTGTTTCTTTTTCCAAGACCAAGGTCCTCAATTGTAGTATTGCTGAACCAGGTATCTTCATCTTGCAACTCTGCATTTCGTTTCTTTTTCCAAGACACAGTACTTTGCACTTATTCCTATTGAATTTCATTCTGTTGTTTTCAACAGTCTCCAGCCTATCGAGATCATTTTGAATTTTGTTTCTGTCTTCCAGTGTATATTCTACCAAATTTTACATCATCCACAAATTTGACAAGCATTTCTTGCAGTCCTTCAACCAAGTCATTAATAAAAATGTTGAAGAACACCGGAGCCAGGTCTGAGCCTTGGGGTACCCCACTTGTTACCTCCTCCCAGTTGGAGGAGCCATTAATCGTCACCCTCTGATTACAATTCTGTAGCCAATTGTGTATCTGACATTTCTAAAACAAAAACAAATGCCATCATACACACATAAGGCTTCATCTTTATCCATACTAGTCATAATTCTAGTTTCATAAAGCTTCACCCACTTTCAAAACTTCCCATTGTTTAATTAGCCCAATTCTATACTTTTAACTGAAAAACAGAACTAAGCTCAATAGAGCTTCCTCTGGACTGGCTGCTCACTGGGTGTTTCGGCTCTCACCCTTATTTCATGAAACAAAGGAGAGAAAGTTGGAGAAAGTCCACCAACTGTGTAAGATGCATAGCCAGACGAAAATCACTGCATGGTTCTTCACACTTACCTGAAATTATTTACGAAAACAGAGAGCCCAAACAATAAGCTGTATTTATTTGAACAGAGGACACGCTCTTCTTGAATCGGATAAAGTTCAATTACTTTAACAGTGTAATTTTTTATTTGTCTACTCATAACAAAATCCTAACGGGACTCACTTGTAGGCAAACATGCATAGGATTGCATCTCAAGGTTAAAATAGTTCAGTGCATTTCCACGTCCAATACAGTAGGATCACAGTATCTGTGGGGGATTGGTTCCAAGTACCCCCACCCACCGACCCATGGATGCTGAAAACTGTGGAAGTATTGAACACTATACATTGCATGGTCTCTGGCTCCTTCTAGAAACCAGTTCTAGTAAATACACCCTTTCTGAGTTTTTTTTATTTAGCATTTTCAGGCAGTGGACAAATGAATCAGCAGATACTGATCCCACGGACGGTGTATGTGTGTGTGTGGTCCTACGGTACTGCAAAGTAGGAGAAGTATGGACAAGCATTCAAAATTTCAGTCATCAAGTCTGCGTATAAGTAAAAACAGATTAATCCTACATTGATCCAATATGACACAGCTTGTAAATTAATGTTAGAAGTGAATATTAAGTACTCTATGCTCATCCTATGAAATTTACCACGTGGAAACATTAAAAAGTTTCCCAAGTTAATTCCCAAGTAGTTTTCTTTGGTTGTGTTCTCAAAGTGAACTCCAGAAGAACTCCATGACTAATCTCTTCACAAATTCTCCAGATGAAAGTGCCCCTGTAATTACTTTCTATCCAAATTTATATTCAAAATAGCTTTATTTGTTCCAATGTGGTCATGTTATCTTTGCAGCAAATAAATAAAGCAACGATACAAGCTGTAAAAGAACCCTGGAAACATTTTAAAATCTTATTCCAGATTAGACAATGTTTCATACTTTGAACTAATGCTAGCTGTACACGAGTGTACAGTATATATAAATCCATGTCATAACTGCGCCATCAAAATATTGTATTAATTACCTTGAAGAGGTAAGAAAGCCTCACATGTACATACTCCCAAGAGCACCAAAGGTAAATTGCAAATATGACGCCTGCATTTCTATAATCCGAATTTACAGTGGCTACCACCCAATCAACTTGCTCTTCCAGGTGTCGAAAGGAAAGACACATGGAAGGTTGCTAAACACATTAACAGTGAGGAACAACAAAACTTGAAATGGGTCAGGGGCAGGGTTGCGTGGTCAGTGACAAAATTATGAAACACGACACAATATTTTTCAGTTCAAATCAAAATGTCAATCTCAGTCAGAGGTCCAAATTTAGCTCCATGACAGAAGGGGAAAAATGTATCATACTAGGCAGTTATTTCCAGAAAGAAGTAAGGAGAAAGTGACATAGGATTTTTAGCTCAGATTCTCTTGGCAGACTTTTTAAGCTGTTCACACCTCTTATCATGAACTGTCTTCTTCAAAAGGAAACATTTCATAATTTAAAAAGCATAATTTTCAAAAGGCACTTTGTCATCTCTGATATTTAACACATCAATGGAGTGGAACAGAATCTTTTGGGAAAAGAGAATGGCAAAAAGAAAACATTTTCTCTGCAGTGATGAAATAGACTGAAATCCTGTTGCCTAAACTTGCACTGTGTAAGGCTGATTATGTCATCAGTCATGAGATTTTAAAAGAAATCCAATTGCCCCCAAAGTCCCTGAGTTTCTCACTGGTCCCCTTTTGTCATCAGGAGGTTATTGGGGGCTGTGTGATGGGGAGGACATCTTTAATTTTCAACAATCACCACTGTGAGGATTTTATCTGCTAGAATAATATTTTGAAAATTAAAGAGCTCTCTTCCATTCTGCAATGCCCTGTCCCCAACAATGAAGAGAGCCCATGGGAGCCTCAGGATGTTGAGGGGGTGGGGGTGGAGAAAGGATTTTTTTAAAATTTAAAAGCAACATAATGACTGATTATGTAATAAGTTAAAGCAACAGGATTTCAGCTTGAGTGTGTTTAAAAAGCTGTCAATACACAGGACTTCCCTTTTTCCAGGCTCATAAAGATTCTACTGCTTCTGAGAAAACTTGCACTAATTCTTTTTCCTTTCTAAACTTACACTTATCTTTCTGCAGAATCTAAGTCTTAGATAAGGAGCATGATAAGCGTAAGCAGATTACTATACAAGACCCCATTATTATCATTAGTAACAGAAATATCTATATATCTCAATCAACCCTTCCCCTACCTGGACTAATCCCTAGTAAAAAGGGCCCATTGTCTGCTTCCTCACCTTGTGTTACACAATTAATTACAAACTTAATATAAGAATATTGAAGTTCAAGCTGCAGCCCAGCCAGTGAGTAAATATATTTTCCAAAGGCAAAGAGAAGGATAAAAGAATAATATAATGCAAATGTTGACCAATTTAACCCTATTACAGTGGGCTACACCTCCCTCCCTGCCACTGAAATTCTATGATCCATTAGCAACTGGAAGCTTAAAAAATAAGAACTGGAAATGTTTATTTTCAGGAAACAATGTATCATTTAAAAAAAAACTTGTTTTAAAGCAGAATTCCACTTACTAAAGGGTCCCTGGAGCACCCTTCCCCTCTAAAATTATGAAAAAAAATCTTTTTCTCGTATCACACCGCCAAAATTCATTGGAAGCAGGCCTGTGTATATGTGTGTGTAGGGGCCAAAAAAGCCAAGGGGGTACATATAGATGGCACGCTGTCCTCTCTTTCCTCATTCACAGGGGGTGAATGAAACGAAAATTTGTATAATACTGACACTCACTATAATCCTGATGACACATCTCAGACAGAGGGTTACTTCCACACAGTGGCTTCTCTTAACAGAAAGAAGCACGGAAACTACTTGACTCCATAATACAAGTTAACAGCCAAGCCAATCAACAGTACAGAAAGAAAGAAAAAGGCTGTGAGGTGCAGGCTAAATAGAAAGACAGAGAGTACAGCATTAACTGTTATGGAGCAGGAAATCACAAAAAGTCTGGTAATGTTAGTACTGTGCTTCATTACTACAGACATGATTAGGCCATTCAGAGCTTGGCTTACAATAACCAACAGCACCCAAAAAGAAAAACCTTCCCAGAACCCAGTGGCTGGGCTACTTGTCAGATGGATGATCACATTCACCAAAACACCAAAAAAATAAAGAAACAAATTTTGGAGGTTAAGAGGCAGGTCCTGGGTCTTCAAGACAACTTCTGTATAGACAGCCGAAAGGCCTGAGCTCAGGCAATACAGAAACATCAGCATCAGGCCAACAGGAGTGATGTGCAGTTGCATCTCGGAGACAGGCAAGTGCTGTGGGTCCTGCAGGCCTCCGTATGTATAAAATGCACCAGCTGCTGTTAGCAGGAAAAGAGCTAGCCACTTGCGTAGAGTCAATCTTTGGTGCAAGAATATGCTGAAAAGGAGGGCAGTGCTGCCAATTTTCAAGTTGCTCAGCACCTGGAAGGTACTAGGATCCATGAACAGCTGCAGATGTACCACTAAGTTGTTGTTGGCTGCATACAGCAATGCTGAGAGAGCAAAGGGGGCCGCATGATACCAGGACACAGAGATTCTTAGTTGTCTCCTGTCCCAAATTAGCAGGAACACTAAGGAGAGCACTAACTTGGTTAACTCAATCAACACCACTACAGAGGAGGCACTAAATGGGATTTGGCCATCTTCTTTACTGAGAGTCAAGAGTGGAGCATGGGAGCCATAGATGACAATAGAGAGGATCAACATCAGCCCCCACAGGACTTTCTCAGGTATGATAGGAGCAGCAGAGCTGACCAGGCTTCCAGCAGCACAAATGTTATCAAATAACATTTCTGTGATATGGGGAGACAGGGGGAGGATCAGTCTTTACTTTCTATGGCCCGAAGAAATAATTATTTGTTGTTTTGATTATTTCTATTTACGATTTACATCATCAGGAAGAAAAGTACACAGCAAATTTAATAATTAGATCAGCAAGACAGAAATAGTCTCTATGAGATGTATATGCCAGTATAGTATTCAACATGATAAAAGGGGGAGGGGGAGGAATTGGCATCTTGAATGTTACCAATTTCAGATCTTGTTTTCTGAGCAAGGATACAGGTATGTGGTAGGTTCTGAGAGTCTTAAGCAGGACAGGGACTTAATGGTTGCCCGTTTCTTCGTTACAATGACACTGCAGACACATCAGAGAGAGAGAGAGAAACCCATAGGGGGCCAAGCTGATATGCTGAAATGATCTAAGGCCCAGCATGGCCAAAAAATTCTCACAATGCAGTTGAGAACAACTGAAGTCAGACCTGCTGAAATGTCATAATTGTGATTGTTATGTATAATCCAATATAAAACACTTTCTAAATAATATGAATGCTGAAAGAGGAGACAGATGCCCATGACCTATGCAGAGTTGAGACACAAATGGAGGAGCTTTTCTGGAGTGAATCGCTACGTGAGTTCTCTTCTAATCTGGTCCTTTTCTCAATGAGTTGAAGCAGTCTTTGACTACCTTTTCCATATTGGGAACGACGTAGGTCTGAGCAGCATACACTCCAGTACAAGTGCCCACCAAAAATCCCACGATTGCTGAGAATCTGAGTTTGGCTAAAACATACCCAGCAAGGAACCCTTTGAAAAATGGAGATGCCAGCAAAGTGCCATCCTGCAGAGAAACAAACAAAACAAAGAATAAGTACCATTTCCCATCATCTGGTGGATTATAATGCAAGACTGGTATAATTTTGCCATCACGTACGTTTTCAATATGGCCAGGTGGCACAGAATAAACAAATAAAATACAATCCATTGGAAATATTGCTGTGCAGTATTAAATTAATAATACCCTCTCAGCTACATTATTTCTGCCTCTTGAGAGAATAATATAATAAAACAGATTTCTGGCGATAACAAGCAGAACTACTATTACCTGTCCCACTCCAGCGTGAGCCTCATTTTCTACTCTTCTTCTCAAGTTTTCCAACTGATCCTTCAAAAAAGTAAGATCTTTCAGCTGCGACAGAGAATCCTACACATTAGAAACAAAAATGGCATATTCCACACTGCATGCACACATGCATTTTAGTGTCTTTGTTAAAGAAAGCAATGTCTTAAGAAAAACCGAAGCAGCCCAGGGAATATAATGATATTTCTAATATCTAAAGCCAGTGTTCCATCTCTGGCTATAACTACTGCCCCTTCAGACATTTTGTACTCTGTGGAGTCTGTCCCAAGAGCTTAGTATCAATGAGTTGCGCAAATTATTATAACACCATTTAATCTTTTGCAATGTGGGAAACTGAATTCACTAGTAGGCTAATTTTTAAGTACTGATTTATAGTGCCAATAATTCGATGTAAAGCCATGAAAAATAATCACAGTCTTATCAGTTGAGTAGGATTTTTTAAAAATACTTGGTTGCCATGGACTTGGCTAGTAAATTATAAGATTATGCAACTAGATATTATACTTCTAACTTATCATGACCCTAATGGGGTTCTTAAGGGATGTAAAATGTTTAAGGAGTGATTTATTATTGCTATCCTTAGTGAATTTCCATGGTTGGGTGGGTGGGGATTTGAATCCAACCCTCCGAGCTGGACTAGGATCCAATACTATCCACTGCAGTAAACTGATCCTCACCTAGAGATAACACCAAAAGATTTGGGTTCATTTATGGGCTATTTTTAATTTCTAGAGCCAAATAATATTTGGAGAAATATTGTTGTTTCACCTCCCCAAGAATCCTGGTGATATTCAATAATGCTCTGTATGGGGGCAATTAAGATCTTTTCTTAATCCATTTCTAGTTTATTTCGTTATCTCACCTGAGCATAAAAGGTACTCCACCCGAATCATCATACAAATTAAAACAACTAGCACAGTACTAGAATAAGTTAAAACTACACTCAGAAACAAAGGCCTCAAAAGGAAGTTTTATCTTTCCACACTAAGTGAACAAAATTATTCACCCTCAGGTTATAGACTAAAAAAGAGCTACGAGTGCAGCTTCCTAAATAACATTACAGTACAGAAAAAGCTCTCGTCCAACAACGTTCAATGAGTTTGTGTCAAGAGGGCAGATTTCAAGCCGGCCCTTCTACACTCTTGCAGTAGGAACTCCCCAAAATTGAACTATGGTGAAGGCAGCTTTGACTCCCTTTTCAGAGTCTTCTTTTCTTTCGTCCAGGAGGCTTCCCTCACTAATATTACGCTGGCGTGGCCTGTATCAAAGGCTTTAAGGACGGGGGGGGAGCGACCCTGTGGCCAGCCAAGGCGAGGACGTCCAAACAGGCCGAGTCTCGCTCCCTGAAAAACGTGGCACAAAAGCCCCATAAAACTTTTGTGGGGGCTGCCTCCTTCTAACCCCGCCGGCAGCTCCCCACCCGACTACCACACCCTTTCTGCTCCGCAAACAAGACAACCCGAGACTGCAATTACTGGCAAAGGCGGCCAACGGGAATGAGAGGAAGCGCGGCTAACCTCCCAACTCTCCTGACCTCTCGGCGCCTACCTTATCGTCCGCCATCTTCCTCGCCCAAAAACGACCCGGTTCCCTGTTGCGCATGCGCGGGCACAGCGCCCCCTCCCTTCCTTTCACCTGCGGCTTCCTTCAGTCGCGTCGACGCTCTTCGAGCAGCCCGGCGCGGGTCTCTGGCTTTCGTCCCAGCGCCCACTAAAAAATCAACCCAAGGGAAAAATCGGTGGGAAAAATTGGGCTCTTCATAACGGAGAGCCACGTATTGACCGCTAAACAAAAAGAGAAGATGGGGTTTCGTCTATTTTTTTTTTTTTTGGCTGGAAATCCAAATAAGACCTCAGGATCCCCTCAAACATGCAGTAGTAAACTGTGGGCTCCACTGCAAGGCTGTCGTGAGCCACTTTCTTGGCCACGACTCCTCCAGGCGTAGGGTTAGGGGTACAGTACCCATGGGTTTGTATTGGCAATCACTGGCTGTAAAACGAAGAGTAAAAACCTGCCACGAAATAAGATTTATGGAGGAAAGAACACGAATAGCTGTCTCTTTTTCTACTTCTTTTAGGTAAGGGACGCGCTGCTACGAAATCAGCGGCGTTACACTAAAATCCTGGATTCGTTATATTCCCGCGGGGGGTGGGTTGGGGAGAGAGAAGAAAAAATATGGTTTCGGGAATGTCAACCCGGAAGTTCGTTCTCCAGAAAAAGAACTAAACGACTCTATTTTTTTTCTTACTTCTTTGGATTCAACACGGCTCCCTGCTGTGGGATTTCTGCTTCGTGGCCGTAACGATGGCGGGCGCTTCCCTACGTCAGTATGGCGTCACGGGATGGGATGATTAATTTTTCGCACAACTTTTGTCCTCCGTGCTGAATGGGAGAGTGGCGCAGTTCGCGCTGTTGCAGAGAGATCTCCTTTGCTAGGAGAGATTTCAAAACGGGATGGTTTTGTTGCTTCTCAGTCTGTTTTAGTAATGCTTTGACAATATAGTGCTACTATTTTTTTTAAAATACTTGAATAATTTGCTGTTCTTAGCTTTTAATATTATGTCGTTCGTGGTGGTAAGCCACCTTGGGTCCTTTTTAAGGAGAAAGGTGGGGTAAAATATTTCAAATAAGTAAATAATCAGGAACAAATGAGCTTTCCAGTCTGGCAGAAGCAGGAGTTGTCATCAGCTATGGAGGACACCCTGAGTGACTGGCATTCTTTGTTGACAGAGATAAAGACAAGGTGAAAGTGGTAACTGCCAACACGCTTTAAATTGGTTTGTTAAGTCTCTACTCCTCTTCCTCTTGTAACATTAGCAACTTTAGATCCCGAAGTTACAACATCTAGCTGGGCTGATTTTTGGATTTTGTGTTTCTCTCCTTCACTGTAGGCTCTGCAACGCCAAGCCAATCCTACACAAAATCAACAAAACGAAAACACAGTATTCATATGCATACTGGTACAAGCACAAGGGTGGGGAAGCCATGTGATGCTCTAAAGCCTAATGAATTTATTGTAGCATAACTTCACAATAAATCTGTTATAGGAATATAAATCTGGTAATTAGAAAATGAGCACAAAATTCTTTATTGCTCTAACTGTGGCTGATTGAAATTGCAGCCCCTGCATTTTCTAGATCCAGTAGCTACTGACATGAAGAGGGCTACTCATAGTCACAATGCATTTCCCATCCCTTTCCCTTCTCCTGTATACATACATATGAACCAGCCATTTGTGAGTACTCTTCACCTTTGAGAACTATTCATTCTAAAAGAGTAAACTGGAGTACCTTAGCTGTTGAACTGCAGTGAAGATTACAGGCGAGACATTCATGTGACTTAAGATATTTTCAACAAAGAAGAATATTTAATGGATAAACTGTTTACATATTTCTAACATTCATGAATGCTGTTGATTATCTGAAACAGCACAAATGGGAGGTGTCAGCAGATTTGGGGAAACCCCAATGTTTCTTAGAGTACAATCAGTCTTTAGAGGAAAAAAAAAACTCATAAGAAGAACCTCAAAGGACTGAGCCTGTTCAGTGGGTACATAATTTATCTATTTTATTTTTTCCTGCTTTTCTTCCCAAAGTTGGACTCAAGACAGCTCACAGCAAGATGTGTTTCAAAAAGTTACAACAATAAATCACAAGTAAAATATAATGTTAAAACAGAATAGAACTAAAAGCAGTTGCAAAGGACGCCAATAAAACTCAATGCCCATTAAAAGCTGTTTCCTAAATCAGCTACAAAGGTGCCCTGATTCAGTGGGCATACTTTAAACAATGATTGATAATATAGTCACAGTCTTCAGAATGGCTGCCCCAGGCCTTTGGAACTCCATGTCAAGGGAAGCCTGGCTAACTCAGTCTTTTGTTATACTACCTATAGGCAAAGCCTTTCATCCCCTTTTTTTATTTCTGAGTATGGCTTTTTAGCTGTTTGTTGAAATAGGCTTTATTTGGTAGATCGTGTTTATTTCGTTTTATTGATAACTAAGTTTTTGTGTTTGAATTGCCTTATCTCATATGTTAGTGTTGTTACCCATCTTGAGTACTGGTAATAGTAGAAAAGCTGAATTTATGAAACAAATAAATCAGTAGACATAAACTGCTGATAAGCACTGTCTTTAAAATACATTATTGTACAGAAGAGGAAACTTTAAAAAAAAGATTATGTCTAATGCAAAACTTGTGAGCATTAGCTAAAACTAAGAATGTATGTGGTTTTTGTGGATTTTGCTGGAGAGCTGAAACAGACATTTGGTCTGATCCAGATGGCAGTCCTTTTGATCTCACAATCCATCTGTAGGCTATCTGCTAATGTAAAAAAAGATCCATGTAAGTAGCTGAAATCCCCACTATCATAAAATGTCCTCTGACAATTTCAGGGCATTTGGGAGTGTACATAAACAGAGGAATTCTTTGCTGACAATCCCCACTATCATAAAATGTCCTCTGACCACTTCAGGGCATTTGGGAGTATACATAGAGGAATTCTTTGCTGAGGTGGATAGGCAGGATTTAGCCATTTGAAATCAATTGGCTAACTTCAATTGTTAATCCCGGTTAGAGTCCATCTGCCGAATCAGAGGCCCTTATGTAGCTATTGCTTCAGCAAAGGGTCTACTTTACTCTAGCACTAGTTGGGATTGACCACTGGATTCAGACCTTGATGCATATAAGATAAGCCTCTGGATTCAGCAAGACTTACTAGTTAATTGTGTGTTGTCAATCACAGTAAATATCCTGAGGACTGGCCTGCCAGTGCAGTGGCTGAGGGCTGACTGTGTGGCACTTCCCACAGTTGTATGATCAGGAAGTAAATATCCTGAGGACTGGCCTGCCAGTGAAGTGGCTGACTGTGTGGCACTTCCTGCAGTTGTATTATCAGGATTCTAAGTGGACCTCTAAGGACCATTCCCTGAAACAATGGACAGCTTGATTGACCAAAGGAGTAGACTCTGGAGAACATTGGAAAAAAAAACTGAGATTTTTTTATTTTTTTATTTATTTTTTGCTCTGAATCCTTGGGAAACTGCCTGAATTTAGGCATACATTTAGGAAGAGAGACCTTGCTTCATGCCAGTACAGGCCACAACCCTTTCCATGTTTCCTGGAAGGAAAGAACAGTGCCCACTATACTGGGGTGGGGTTGTCGTCAGGGGGTAGCAGTCGCTAGCGCTTGGGATCCCCTCCAGCTCTACAAACTCTCTGGCTCTATGGGGAGGGAGCCTGCTCCCAGCTGTCTGGCCGCGTCACCCCTTGGACTCCTCCTCTGCCCTGGGCTCCCCTCCTTGCTCCTCCCGCGCATGCCAGGCTCGGCACCGCCCCACACTCCGGCGCTGGCTGCTGGCACATCCTCCCCCCTGGCTCCTGCCGCCGCCGCCGCCGCCCTCCTTTTTTCCTTTCCGAGCTGGACGGTTGCTCGTCCCCCTGACAGAGCGGAGCCATGTTAGGCAAGGACTACATGCTGGCC